GGATGCCGGCGTCGCGGAGCCCTCCCGGGGCGCTGAACATCACCGAGTCCAGGAGGTTGGCCTTGCGGGGGCGCCCCCGGCCGCGCTTGCTGCCCAGCGAGGGGCCGGCGCCGCCCACGCTCTGGAAGGGCGAGGCCAGCAGGGGCGGCGAGAGGGGCCCGGCCACCATGGGCAGCCGGTCCACGCCCTGCAGCACGGGCAGCGAGGCCTGGGCGGCGGCCGAGAGCACCGCCCGCGTGGCCTCGTCCTCGGGCATGCCGGCGATCCCGTTGCCGTTGGGCGCCAGGCCGGCGCCGTTGGTCATGTCCAGCGGGAAGCCCAGCTCGGCGGCGGATGCGGCGCCGGGGCGGAAGAGCATGACGTCGGGGCGGGCGGCGGGCGGCACCAGGATCTGCACGTTGGACTGCTTGATGACCTCCTGGCAGATGTCGATCACGGAGCGCATCAGCAGGAACTTGGCGGCCGTCATCAGCTCCGGGAAGCTCTCCAGTCGCACCACGATGCGCGACGTGTAGGCGAAGTCCAGGATGTCCCCGAAGACCTTGGAGCTGATAGTGTGCATCTCCAGCTCGCGTGCCCCGCCGCCGCCAGGACCGGGCCCCCCACCGGGGCCGCCCCCCGCCTCGCCGGCGCCCCCCTCCGGCGCCCCGGCGCCCTCGCCGCCCAGCCCCTGCGCGCTGAAGACCGACTCGAAGTACTCGCTGCAGGCGGCCAGCACGGCCCGGTGCGCCGGGAAGCTCTCGTCGCCCACGCGCAGCAGCACGTCGCAGAAGCGCCCGCCGTTCTTGCGCTGCTGGTTCAGGCTGTGCAGCAGGTCGGCGCTGTGCCGGCTCACCTGGTAGGTGTAGCAGCTCGGCGGGGTCGCGCCGCAAGGGTTACTGGCGGCGGCGGCCGCCTCGTTCACCCGCTCCATCGGGGCGGCCGCGGCGCCGCGCTTACCTGCCTGCTGTGCCCGGCGGCGGCCGGCAGGAGGCGCGCGCCCGCCTCCCCGTCGAGGGGTCGGGGCGCGCGCCCGTCAGGAGGCCGCCCGCGCGCCGCCCGCGCCCTCCAACAGCCCCGGGCCCGGCCGGGAGCGCGCGCGCGCCGTCCGCCCGCGAGTCCGGCGGCTGCGAGGAGGAACAAAGGCCCGGCCGACGCCGGCAGAAGAGCGCGGCAGGGCGCGAGGGGGGTGCAGCAGGCCCCGGCGGGCGGCTTCTCCACCGGCCCAGACGGCGTGGCGCGGCGAGGCGCGGGCGGCGGCAGCAGGCTGGGCCGGGGTCTCTCGAAGGCCGTCGGCGCGGCGGGCGCGGCGCGGGGGGGCTCCCTCCCTTCCTGGGTGTGCGTGCGTGCGAGTGTGTGTGTTTGCAGAGGAGGAAAGATGGCAGCGGCTGCACTTCCTCTTGCACTTTCACCTCTGGGGGGGGAGGAAGGGGAGGGGGGGCTGTCCCCCCCGCCCGCC